TAAAATTGACATTTTAAACAAATATATAAGAATGACATTTTAGACATATTATAATTATTGTAACGATGCATCGTAGCACTTTTTTTAAGCAAATGGACGAGATATGTGACATTTACTAAGAACTAGTGTTTTTTTTGTCCCGTGAATTAGGTCATCCGTGAAAGGAAACAAAGCGTAAGTGGAAGTTTGCAGGCAAAAGAAGATTCGGAAGTATTGGGTAAGTTATCCTCTGTCTTGAGAGATAGGTAGATAGATAAATAGAGATAGATATAGAGAGAGACAGAGAGAGAGAGAGAGAGAGAGAGAGAGAGAGAGAGAGAGGCGAGGAAGCGAGAGAGAGGAAGTGCAAGAGAGAGAAGAGAACGAGCGAGATAGTGGGGAGAGTATGTGAGTGAGAGGGGGAAGGAGAGGGGGAGAATGAGAGAAAGAGAGTGATCGAGCGAGTGGGTGAGAGAGAAGGAGAGGGAGGGATGAGGAAGTGAGAGAGAGGAAAGAATGAGCGAGGAAATGGGAAGTGTATGTGAGTAAAAAAGAGAGAGAGAGAGAGATAAGCGGCTAGCATGGTTAACTGTGCAGGTAGCAAACGAAGAATGGCCTTCCTGGACCTGCTACTGGAGGCGTCTGAAGGCGGTACTGTCCTCAGCGACGAGGACATCCGCGAGGAGGTCGACACCTTCATGTTCGAGGCGAGTGCAATGTCCTCACAGAAAAGTTATCAACCCAAGCTATCTCCCTGCCTGTTTCAATTACGTCTCAATTTGCAACATTTCAATTTACCATTCGGTGTTTAGAAATTACTCGTGCTAAAGAATGCCATAGACTTTGTAGTCTGGGGAGATTTTGCGAGGAAATGTGCAATTTTGAGTTTATTTTTACAGAAACGTTTTAAGTTTTTAAGAAATATTTTTAGTCATCATTTGAAGTACTTCTACTCGCAAATACAACAGCGTAAAAAACATCTGTAACATAAATATTAAGGACGTAAGAGACATTTAAAAAAATAATTTGTAAAATTCTTGAGAAATCAAAACATTACATCAAAATGCGTTAATTTCATGTTATTCAGTCCATTTTGCCATAGACGCATAAGGATTTTTGAAGAAAATTTTGAAGTATTTTTTGAGAAAATCTTTTTCAGGTTTTTAATATTTCCCATATTTCTCTCTATCATAATATTTTGGGATGTTTGGCACCTTAAGAATTTCTTTCGTGAGCACCCATGGGTCTCCTTTCTAGGCGAGTGATTCTCACATCAGTGACGATCTACCATGGCACTAGGGGCGGATCAGCAAAGGGTTGGGTTGGTCACAGGAAAGAGCGAAAGGAAAAAAACTCTCATCCTTTTCCTTCTAGATTTATTTATTTAGTCAAAAACCAGTAAAAACTGTATGTGACGTATGGGGAAGATCATTTGCGCACATTTTCTTGAGTTCCAGCATCCTTTCCCATCATTTTAACTATAAATATTTGAAATGTCTGCAGGGCCATGACACGACGTCCGCCAGCTTGTGCTGGACCCTTCTGCTCCTAGGAAACCATCCAAAAGTGCAGGTACGGACGAAAGGAGCAACCAAAATTTTCCAATTATAAAATATTGATATTTTCAAAAAGAAATGAACACAATAATTTTTCCGCTTAAAACAAAATTTATTATGTTAAAAAGAACGTATGTAGGAATGCAGTTCCACAAAATACTCAAAACATTTGAGCATCGATACTTTTCAGCATCCTAAAATTGGGAATTGGGAGATGGCGGTTGAAAATGATATTCCATAATGTGTTTTTAAATAGACATTATTTTGCAAAATGGCTGAGGCACGAAGGAAAAGGTGCGGGTCGGAAGGAGGGGGGCAGAGTGGGAGCGCGTGGAGAGGGGAGGGGGAGGGTAAAACTGCTTAATTGTGGTATGTGGAAGCGTGTACATAGCTGCATAATCACATGGAGCTTCGAGAAGCACAATTGTTAGCGTAAGAGTGACCAAACACATTGCAATTTTATCATCCTCCAGGCGATAATGCTGAACAATTATAAATATATTTTTAAAATATACCCATTGATACAGCGAAATTGTAATGAAATTTGGCATTTACTAGACTTTTTACAATATTTTAAAAAATAATGATGTAAAATGATAATGTGTATTGTAACATTTTGAATTCGTACTTCACCTAGGAACGAGCCTTTGAGGAGCAAGCTGCAATATTTGGAGACAGTACTCGGCAGCCG